AAAATTTAATTTCCTCTTAGCCATCAGTTTCAAAGCTTGTATTTTTTGGCCTTATCATTTAACCAGGGTTGTCGAGCCAATCATGGCATCCTCGTGGTCTGCACCAGTGGTGGAGCATCAACAAGCACTGGATCCGTTATAGGTCATGAGTCTGGCGCTGGCCTTCAATCAACTTCTGGTTCTGGATACCGGTCTGTGGAGTCTGCTGGCAACCCGAATATTAGGTCCAGCTCTATGGTTTCGTCGGCTACGGCTTCTGCATCTACAGGGAATGATCCTATTTCCTCTGCTTCTCTACTTAATTCTCCCTCTCGCACTTCACTCCCAACCACTGGTGCAACACCTGCTCCAAAAAAAAAATATTTCTACGAGGTTATAGTTCGAGAGCTGCTGCCTGGACCCTTAAGTGAGTAATTTAATTAGCGAATAGTTTTGGTACTAAGCCCGAAGTGGCTTATTGCTGATTTGGCTAGTAGTAGTTACCGTGACAGGAACACTAGCTTGCGGGTTATGGAGTGTTAACAATAAAAGTTGAACAGGATAATTAATTTTCTACCATTTCAGATTTGATATTCGCAATGCTGAAGCTAAATTGGCTGAGTGAAGCTATAGTTTATTTACATCATGTCGGTCTTCCACCATCTTCCACTTTTATTTCATTTTACACCCTTATAATAGACTTTAATTATCTCGATTCAGCACCAGATTACCGCTTAGTTGTTGAGGCGTAATGCTTCAATTAACTTATTCCCTCCTTTTTTCGTTTATATGTAGGTTTTAGAGACTACCATCATACTCTTAATATATATTCTTTACTTTACTTTGCAGTCTGAGCTCTTTTGAATATAAACCTACCTTGAGATAGTGTTCTTCCAAAATTATTTTGGCGAATTACGATTGGCTTGTCTATCAATTTGCTTTCCTTTGTCGACCAGCCACTTCAGCCTCTTGTACATGAAAGATGAAGCTTACTTTCATTTAGGATTTTGCACCCATCAGTG